AACTTGTGATAAATAACCGCTGTGATATTTATACTTCTTTGATCAATGGAATTTCGAAAAAAATTTTTTTTTTTTTTTCGTGGTATGCATGCGATCTGTCCATAAATTTTGTCGATTTTTTTTTCTTTTCGGAAAAGTGACCCACTCAGCAAACAAATAACTTTAAATATATATATATATGTATGCATTTTAATTTAATATAGTTAATATAGTTAATATAGTTATCAATTTTCGAGATCTATTAAAATTTAAAATTATGATACATAAAATGTTGATATTTTTCTTTTCGGGTCATTCAGTTCATATCTAAGTTATCACTAAAAATAAAAGTTTGATCAAATTGATCAAATAAAAAAAAAGAAAAAAACGACCTACACATTTTATATCCGTATTTGTATTCGGCCTATCAAGAATGACACTTTTACGATGTTATGATAGTTTCCAAATTTATCTTAAATGCTTATCGAGGATCTATAAGAAATTCGTTTTTTTTTATACTGTACATCTCATAAATAAATTCAAAAAAAATATAGTTTTGAAATATATGCGCGCGGATACTATCTGATGAATTGATAAAATCATTTCTTTTGCATAGAACAAATAGAGAAAGGATTGCATGATTATTTATTATCATTTAAATAGTTCAAGTTTTAACGATTAAAAAAATTCACGAATTATACCGATAGAGGAAAGTTCAGAATTGAGTGATTTAAAGTCCAAGTTAACAATTTATGTGGATTACTAAGCAAACCTTTAATTATTTACAAGAATTCTTACATTCTATAAAGAAAACTTTCGTACAATTTCGATCTTTCCATCTTAGTAATACTTTGTGATCACTTTGTACTGAACTATATCACTAAATTAGATAATAAGGAGAATAGTTTAGTATAATTTGCTCCATAATATAAACTTACAATACACAACCTAAACCATGTTTGAATAGTCTGAGTCACGGCATTTTTTTGTAATGACGAGATCAAGTTTGAGGTTACATCACTAAAGAAAAAAAAAGAACAAAAATATCAGATTACTTGTTTTGTTTAAATAAAAAAGAATTTCAATGTCAAAAGCAAGAAAAGAAATATTTTTACAATGTCAAAGTAGGATCTTAGTAGATCCTATTCTGTTCTTATTCGGTTCTTATTCGGTTCTTATTCGGTTCTTATTCGGTTCTTATTCTGTTCTTATTCTGTTCTGTATCGAAAAAAAAAGCCATACCTTTCCCACCAAAAAAAAAAAAGAGAGAAACGTTCGACCGAACTTATACGGAACCTACATGATTGAATAATAAATGAATAATGTTAATATGAATACTACAATACTATAATATTTGCACCACATTCAATATGAATATAGTAGTAAATTGGTAGATTCATGATGATAGACAGCGCCTTACTCCCAAAATCATCATAGCAAAAAAATGCAAAAAATTGAACTTTTTATAAACGCCAAATTTTTAAGAATTGATATAAGGGGTAGAATGAAATTATAGACTCCGTAAATAAAACATAATAAGAAATTTTATTTAATAGAATGATTTCCCTGAAGTTTGTTTAGTTTGTTTCAAGTTATTAAAAATATTAAAAATCTGTAAGATATTAAAAATCTGTAAGATATTAAAAATCTGTAAGATATTAAAAATCTGTAAGATATTGTACATCAGGTTTTATCCTTTAGAAGAAAGTTATATAAAATGACCACTAAAGCTTGTGCAGAAGCAAAAAAAGGAATCTCAATGAGTCATTGTCCGAAAAAAAACGAACGATGACAAAAAAATAACAATTGTTATTTCCTTATTTGAATGTATCACTACTCGTGATCCCTTACACAATTTAAGGAATTCATTGTTGGTAGGTCTGTTCTATCCTGGAAGTCATATAGTGTCAATTTTCGAATCATTTAAATTTGGTGAACCGATTTAATTTGATTCAAGTTGAATTATACCGAGGCAACATGATTAATTGATTGGTCTCACAACTATAAAAATACTGTAGTTACATAAAAATGTGTATAATTTTATTATGCATAAAATTTTAATTGAACATACTAATAAAAGATCTTGTATGTTTATTTATTTGTTGAAAATTGTACGTACGTAGCATATAGTTTTAATAACTCCGTGATGGTGTATGTACATACGTACGTACGTACTTAAGTATGTATGTGCATCTTTACCAATCATCCTTAATGTCACTAAAATAATCTTCACTAATAAATTCGGAGATAAAATTTACAATAACGATAATAGGCGATAATAGGCGATAATAGGTGATCATTGTGTATTAAATCCCATTATTGACGCACAACTTCATTCATAATTAAACTGCTAGATAACAAAAGAGGTGAAATAGGTCGATACAGATAAAGTATGTGACTCTCCTTTTATGTTTAGTATAACCTTATTCCAATATCACATAGGATTGTTTATCAGGCTGCGGCAAAAAAAAAAACTGATATAAACAACTGTCTCCCAAACTTCAAAATTTCTCCTCCTTTTTTTTTTTTTTATTTAAGAGCTATTAAAAGTCAAGCCTTTTTTAATCACCAGCCCTTCGTTTTTTTTTATCATTATGTTTAAGGCTCAGTGGAATCAAAAATTGGCCAAAAACAAAAATGGAGACCCACCTCTTGAGGAGCATTTTCCATTTATTGAAATAATTTTCAAGCTGCCGAGAAGCGAAATTTTTACTCCACATCATGACGCGAATATAATCTATCCACATCCTAATAAACGTCGTTCGAAAGGTGATCCGCGTCCAATGAATTCATTTATGATACTTACACTCGTTGTGCGAAAAGTCGCAGAAACTTATAACGTTGATTTAGGTGATGGAAGGTCATGTATCAGGATTTGCCAACTTATGAGATGGGGAGCTTCGAAATGTGACTGGATGATTTATTTAAAGTTGCAAAAGCAATTTAAAATAATTCATTCTCACTATTACCCATTGTATGACTATCGTAAGAAATCACAAGTATCTGATAACAAAGAATTTGTGATTGTTAAATCTGATGATTATAAAGAAGAAGCACTGCTTTCTGAGTCTCGAAATAAAAAAATTGCCTCGTCCGCTTTACCTTCTTGGTTATCTACAAAGAATGGAAAGAATGGAAAGATGGCTACAAAGTTTCTAAATTTGCCTGTAAGGGCCACAAGCATTCCCTTTCAGGAAATTACCAATCCTCAAGTTATTATGACAACTCTTTTACCATACGGCTTTAATCCTCAACTTGGTTCTCAAGAGGAATTTTCTCTTAGTCTTTCACCTGTTTCCCCACCTGGTACCTTTAAAGTTGTCCCCAGTTCGCCACCAGTTTCTCAGGAAGTTATTGTCCCATCTTCTCAAAATGTTGGCACTCAAGAAACAACTGTACCTGACTCTCCGTCGTTCATTTCCCAAGTCAAAGCTAACTCAATTAACTCAGTTAACTCAGCTAGCTCAGTTAACTCAGTTAACACTCAGGAAATAGTAGTTCCCAGTTCACCGCAGGAATCTCAAGTTAACTGTCAAGGCTCGACTCCTAGCTCGTCATTTATTACTCAAGTAAACAACGCTCAAGAATTTTTACTTTCCTCCCCATATTTCGGCTATTCTGCCGACCTCCGAAACTTTCCTGCCGACTTCCGTAACTGTTTAGAGCAATGTTATTCAAACATTCCTATTCCTACTATTGCGGTTAATTGTCCAAACCAACAAGTCCCATGTCAAATTGATTCAAAATTTATGGTACAAAGCATTAAAAAACTTTTATGAAAAAAAAAACCTTTATAACTTTTTTTTTTTTTAAGAAAAAAACAAAATTCTTTATATACACCATTTTTCCAAGAGATTATGAACAATACCAAAAAATCCCGATATAATTTTCATCAAATCTAAAATTTATATATCGCCGAATATTTAAACCTTCTTAAACTTTAAATAATTTTTTTTAATAGGTACCTTCCCTTAACATCTTTAACATCAAAACTTTTTCCTTTCACCATATGAATTCATTGATTTAATTCTTCCGTCAAAAAAACATTATGAAAAAAATTCCTTCCAACTATGATAAAAATTTTAATACGTAATTTATTCGTTTAATCTGCCACCCTATTAAAGGTTCCGTCTCGTTTTCGTTTTTTTATCGTTTTCACAAAAAAAAAAAAACAAAAAACAAAAAATAGTAATACGTAATAATAAAATTTCGTTATTAAACTTTAAAAATAATAAAGATTTTTTTTTTTTTTTTTAATTAATGGAAATTTTTCTTTCGAAGTCATTTGCCATTTGAATGCATTATCCGTGTGAAATTATCATCTGACAAGTAATAAATATTAGTAATTAATTGCTATTTTTTTTTATTTACAGTAACGTAAAAAGGATGCGCATACATGATTTGGGGTTATTGCTATTGTTTGGAAATGAGCACACAATCGTCATTGTGATGCATAAGTATGCAAAAGTGTGAACCGTTATCATCAAATTTTTTATGAACTTTTCTCTTTTTTACGACCTTTTTTTTCTCTTAAATATTTTTTTTTTTTTTTTTTTGACTTTTTTGACAAGTATATAATTTTTTTTTTTCTTTTTTTTTTTTTTTTTGTCTTTCAACAATTGTTTTACAAACACGATTTTTTTATATTTGTAACAACTGTAAATTTTTTTGTTTGTAATAACTGTAATAACTGTAATAACAGCTGTAAATATGGGACCCTTTCTAAATACGTCTCTCAGGGTATGGTAAGAAAGTATATTTAGTGAAGATTAACTTATACATTAAAACATGACAACATGGCATGACACTTTTTGAAAAAAAAAATTAACGTTAGTTTATATTCCAGAAATGAACTTTTGTAGAGATGATTAAGGATGATCTTTTATGAGTATGCTGGAAATCAAATGCAAGTTGTCCAAGTTGTTGTTGAACTTTTTTATATTGAAAATCCGTATTATTTTTATTCACGTTTTTAAATATTAAATATTATTAATTTCAGGAATGATTGACTTTAATTGATAATAGCAAAGTTAGGCCACTTTACACTAGATAATTTACTGGTGCCAAAACGTGGATTTTATGATTTTATGAAGAATTAATAATCATAAATGAAACATATT